GTTCTTCTGTCGCAACAGCATGCCTTGACCTTCCAAGTTTCCGAGTGCGGAATGTTCCTGTGCCGCATGGATCGTTTCGATGATGCACGCTTGAGGATCATCGATGACTTTTCGATTCAGATGTCCATGGATACGACAAAGCCGTCCACCACAAACATTCATGTTGATATCGAGCCACTTATCCTCAGAGTGTCGCTGCGGGATATTTTGCTTGTCATGCAAATTGTGAGCAAGGCATCGGAGTTGTCAGGCAACACTCCCACCGAGCCAAAGGGCACAACATCGGATCAGAAAGCGAAGCAGCTCAAGTCTTCAGACTTGAAGCAGCGAACCGCCAGTGGCAAGGGAACATCAACTGTCGCGAACAAGTCCAAGCGCACGGGTACCAAAACTGGGGCAACCGATCCTCGGTCCCAGAAGGCAGGCCAGCAACCGCATGATATCACCAAGGCACCGCCAAGATATGAGCAGCTCACGGCAGCAATTGAAGGAATTCGGCTTGTCCTCATTGGAGATGTGCATGAACTTCCTATTCTCGACATGAGCATCAAGTCATTCACGACTAGTGCGGAGAATTGGTCGTCGAACCTCAAGGCAGAGGCAGCGATCGAGATGTACACCAACATCTTCAACTTCGCCAAGTCAGCCTGGGAGCCGCTCATTGAACCTTGGCAAGTGGGCTTCGGGATTGCCCGTGATCAAAGCACCGGCTTGATGTCAGTCGACGTCTCGTCCAAGAAGACGTTCGATGTGACTCTTTCCACCGCCAGCATTGCACTGCTCTCCAAATCAATGGCGTTCCTTGCTCAGGATGAGGACGTGCTAGGCAAGCCTCGTGGTGTTGAAGCGCCGTATCGTATCCGCAACTACACCGGCTTCAACATCATCATGCACGCCAAGAGAGAGGGCACTGAAGAGACCACACCCCTGCGGCTTGAAGATGGCCAGGAAGTTCCTTGGAGCTTTGAGAATTGGGAAAAGGTGCGAGAAAGTCTCTCTGGCGAAAGCCACGGCACGAGCAACGTCGCCATCCAGTTGGAGGGCAGCGGCTTTGACACAGTCAAGAACATCCGCTTCACTCGTGAGGGAGAGTTCCTCTATGCCCTCAAACCCAAGACAGATGAGGTCCTGCACAAGCTCATGGTTGATGTGAGACTTGGCACAGACAATGTCAAGTATGTCACTTTGCGCAGCCCGCTGTTGGTTGAGAACGAGACCGACATACCAGTCGAGCTTGGCGTCTATGACGCTCAGGAAGGACACCTGCTCAAGATCGAAAAGATTGCCCCTGGCGAGAGCAGGCCTGCCCCCGTTGGCGCTGTCTACACGAAGAGCTTGCTCGTCCGCCCTGATCCCGGGTTCGGATATGGCTGGAGCAATGATACACTCTGGTGGAGAGATCTTCTGAAACGCCCGACCAAGACGTTGATGTGCAAGGGTGAACATGGAGAGCCCTTTTACTTCCAGCTGTCGGCTCGATATGACAAGGCCAACCCGGCAACAAGGTAAGCTATGGTCTGATTCACACTTGCGGCTGCTGTACATGCTAACATTCCTTGCCAGGACCTACCCGTACATGCGCTTGAAGCTCTCCGCCCCCGTCACCATTGAAAATCTACTGCCGTATGACTTCAAATACAGGATCTACGACAAGAACACCAAGAAAGACTGGTCCAACTTCCTTCGCAAGGGCGGGGTTAGCCCTGTGCACGTTGTCGAGCTGTCCCATCTGCTCCTCCTTAGTATCGATATGCAAGATACCGTCTTCAAGCCAAGCGAATTCGCCATCATCAACTCCGGCACCTCTGAGGACTTCCGCAAGGAGACGAACCTTGTATGCAAGGACGATTCAGGCCTGGCGCTCAATCTGAAGTTGCACTACTTCCGCGTTCCCGATAGCGGTGGCGCGTTCAAGGTTACTGTCTACTGCCCCTACGTTATCCTCAACAAGACGGGACTCGATGTGAGCATTCGCTCCAAGGGCTTTATGCAGCACGCCAAAGCGGCAGCCGGCCAGCAGTTGGTCGATGTCGGTGAAAGCCAACGTAAAGCCCAACCAATCATGTTCTCCTTTGGTAGCGACGATCACAGAAACCGTGCATTGCTCAAGGTTGCCGATTCCGACTGGAGCAGACCGCAGAGTTTCGACGCCATTGGAAGTACCACCGAAGTGGTGCTCAACTCACCCTCGCGCAATTCCGAGATCCATATTGGTGTCACAGTCGATACGGGCCATGGCAAGTACAAGATGGTGAAGACGGTCACGCTTGCACCGAGATATGTCATCCAGAATAGGCTCGGCGAAGACATCAACATCCGAGAGCCGAGTTCGTCGACAGTGCTGGAGCTCAAGACCGGCGCTCTTCGTCCGCTGCACTTCCTCCAAAAAGGTGCTGTCAAGCAGCTCTGCCTCTGCTACCCGGGTGTTGATAACCAGTGGACGGCTCCCTTTAACATTTCAGATTTGGGTACCACGCACGTCAAGATCGCTCGCGCCGGTCAACGGCAGAGACTCGTTAGAGTAGAGACGCTCATGGAGGAATCGACCATTTTCTTGAACCTGACCATGGAGACGAAGAACTGGCCCTTCTCGATGCGGAACGAGAGCGACACTGAGTTCACTTTCTATCAAGCAAATCCGAACGATGACGAGGACGGAATCGAAGACCACTCGGGCTGGCGTCCCGTGCGTTACCGTCTTCCGCCCCGGAGCATCATGCCCTACGCGTGGGACTTCCCGGCTGCCAAAAACAAGGAGATTTGCATCAGCGCCAATGGCAAGAACCGTCATGTGAAGTTGACCGAAATCGGAAACCTGGTTCCGATGAAGTTCGTTGACGCTAATGGTCAGACCAAGGTCATCGACATCAATGTCATCGCCGATGGGCCTACCCAAACTCTGATCCTGTCCAACTTCAAGCAGTCAAAGAGTCTGTACAAGCAAAAGTCGAATGCCAGCTCGACAGACCGTAGCACGTTTGAAGCCAAGGAGTTGGACACAGGCGTCACTTTCCGTGCGCAGCTGAGACTGTCCGGCATTGGCATTTCGCTGATCAATTCTCAACTGAAGGAACTGGCCTACATCACCTTCAGAGACGTGCAACTTCGATACAGCGATTCACAATTGTACCAGACCGTCAGCCTGGCTGTCAAGTGGATCCAAATCGACAACCAGCTGTACGGAGGCATATTCCCCATAATCTTGTACCCTAGTGTCGTGCCAAAGCGCGCACAAGAGATTGAGGCCCACCCGTCGCTGCATGCCATGGTAACTCGTGTCAAGGACGACTCATACGGTGTTGAATACATCAAGTACGCCACAATTCTCCTGCAGGAGATGACTGTCGAGCTTGATGAAGACTTTGTCTACGCCGTACTTGAGTTCTCAAAGGTGCCGGGTGCATCATGGTCTTCGTCTGATGAAGAGGACAAGCTGTGCGACGACAGCATTGATGTTCCGCAGCCGAAGCAGTTGGATTCAGGCCGTGACATCTACTTTGAGGTGTTGAACATCCAACCGATGCAGCTCGACTTATCGTTTGTGAGAACGGAGCGTGTGAACGTGGAGGACAAGACATCATCCAAGAACCCAATCATGTTCTTCTTCAACGTCATGACCATGGCCATTGGCAACATCAACGATGCCCCCGTTCGGTTCAACGCTCTCATGCTCGAGAACATGCGCGTCTCTGTTCCAGTCCTCATCCAGAGAATCTCGAATCACTACAGTCAAGAGGCTCTCTACCAGGTACACCACATTCTGGGAAGTGCCGATTTCCTGGGTAACCCGGTTGGTCTGTTCAACAACATCAGCTCTGGTTTTGCGGATATCTTTTACGAGCCATACCAAGGCCTCATCATGTCGGATAGGCCGGAGGATTTCGGTATTGGTCTAGCCCGTGGCGCCGGTTCCTTCTTCAAGAAGTCCGTTTTCGGCTTCAGTGACTCTTTCTCCAAGGTCACTGGTAGTTTTGCCAAGGGTCTCGCGGCTGCCACCATGGATAAGCAATTCCAGGACCGTCGCCGCATCACACGTGCTCGCAACCATCCCAAGCACGCCCTCTTTGGCGTCACCGCCGGTGCCAACAGCCTGTTTACCTCGGTTGCATCGGGCGTTGGAGGTCTTGCCCGCAAGCCGCTCGAAGGTGCAGAGCAGGAAGGCGCTCTCGGTTTCTTCAAGGGCATCGGCAAGGGTGTGGTTGGTCTGGCAACGAAACCGGCCATTGGCGTCCTAGACTTTGCCTCCAATGTGAGCGAAGGCGTGCGCAACACCACCACGGTCTTTGACGGGACCGAACTCGACCGCGTTAGACTACCGAGGTATATCCCCCCGGACGGTATCATCAGGCCATACAGTCAACGTGAGGCACTAGGCCAGAGCTGGCTCAAGCAAATCGACAACGGCAAGTACTTTGATGAGCAGTACATTGCCCATCTTGAGCTGCCAACTGAGGATAAGGTGGTTATGGTGACATTTGCACGGATCTTGCTCATCAGGAGCAGGAAGTTGCAGACGGAGTGGGATGTGCCTTTAAAGGATGTGCAGACCATTGCGAAGGAGAGGACGGGCTTGAGCTTGACGCTGAGAGGAGGGACCAATGGGCCCTTTATTCCCATTGGCGAAGAAAGTGGAAGGACGTTTTTATACCGCCAGGTGGCGATTGCTGTGGAGGAGTTCAATCGCCGGTTCCGGGGATTGGAGTAAGGATGTTCAGACAAAATGAGTTGATGAATGATGCGATGACGGTATGAGGTGGGATAGGTTCACTGCTGAAAGACGAGTTTCTTTGGTCGCTTTCTTTTTTTTTTATGATTATGCGATGAGGAAAAGAAAAACACTGATATGAGCTGTGGTGGTTGTTTGATATTTTTTGCGTTCCACGCTTTTATGATTTGGTTAGCTCCGGAAAAAGTCAGAAGGTCAGGGTGTTGTTGATGATGAATGATGCACGATTCCCCTAGAACCAGAATACATTTGTATAACGTTTCTCAAGTCTCATGATATCCTGATCATAGGCACAAGTCGCTCCGGTTTGTCTCCAGCGTAGTTCTCATCGATGAAACACTCTTTAAATACCCCCCCGAGGACTCTATTTACTCCCCGACTCCAATCCTTTCCAACAACCTCCTCATCGCCACGCCGGCATTATTTCCATGCTGCTCCAAGCGGTACACCTCACTTGACGGAAACGGCACGTACTCCACCGCTTCCACCCCCTCCTGCAACGACAGCCAGCTGGCGAGGAGTAATCCCTCAACTAGCCAGAGGGACTTTTCTCCTTCGTCTGTAAAGGGCCCTTGTTGACTTTCACGTGTTTGAGTTTTACTAAAGGTACTGCTCGTTGCTGGTTGTTGGGCAGCAGATGCGGCGCACGCATCTTCTAGCCTGTCTGTCCAATCTAGGTAGGAGTCGAACCATGAGTTGGTTGAGTTTGTGTAAGAGGAAGCAGAAGCGGGAGCGGAAGAAGAAGAGGAGGAGGAAGCGGAAGAGGAGGGAGGATGATGGTAGAGGGATTGGAGGTGGGATTCTTTGACGCGGTGGAGTTGGCGGGGTTTTGGGTTGCTGGTGGTCGTGGTGGTGGTCGTGGTGGTGGTGGTGTCGCTTGAGTGACATGGATGGTGAGGTTGTGTAGTAGTAGAAGAAGAAGAAGAAGAGGAAGAAGAAGAAGAAGAAGAAGAAGAAGAAGAAGAAGAAGAAGAAGAAGAAGAAGAAGAAGAAGAAGAAGAAGAAGAAGAAGAAGAAGAAGAAGAAGAAGAAGAAGAAGAAGAAGAAGAGGTGTAAAACATGTGCGTGGAAGACTTGGCGTCTAGGCTGGGGCGGATGTAGTATTGGATTTTCTTTGGGATGGCACTGCTTTGACTTTGGGTTTGGATGTGACGTTGACTTGAAGTTCGTGTCAAGGTTGGGGTAACGGTTGATGGAGGTGGAGGAGGTATATGCGTCGACGGTGGTGGACCTCTAGGTCTAGCGGCGGTTATGGTCGCTCCACCCATCCCCGTCTCCGTTCCCATGAAGTTTAACGACACGGGGCTGGACAGCAGCACCCCGTCGATACTTCTTCCATGTGAGTGAGTGGGAACGGAGACCGGGGGACGGAATTGCTGTGACTTGATGGGCGTGGTATTGTTAAAGGGGTCGGAGTACTCATGGTCTTGAGGTTTGCTGAGAGTGATGGTGATGGAATTGTCGGGCTCGAGAGAGAGCATGAGGCCGTAATCGGTCTCAAATGAAAGGCGGAAGCTTCGTCGACTAAAGTTGCCATTGGTCTGGGGGGCTGTGGCTGCTGTGGTGCAGAGAAGAAATGCCAGGTCTGTGTTTGTGAGGGTTCGTGATGTTCGTGACATCTTCTTTGTTGTTATGGACTTGTGGGATGAGGGAATAAGAGAAAAAAGGGAGTAAGGACACTGTCAGATGTCGAAATAACGGTGGCCAGGAGCTGCGTGATATATGGGGGCAAGGCTATAGTTTATTCTGTTATAGCTGATGCACAATCAATAATAGTGGCGAGTGGATGTGCGGGGTGGAAAGGCGTAGAGTTGTGCTGCTGATGCCGAGTCTTGAGTCTAATCTGATCAGAGAGGCGCAGATGATGGTCATGAAACAGCCCGAAAAAGCCATACGGGCTGAAGCAATTCTTATCCGACCACGATCACAGGTGGAGCATTTCCCTTTCTTACTCTCTCTACATATATCTCCCTCAACCGTAGAGGTAAACTCAGCAGCGGCATGGTTTCATGTCCAAAGGAGAAATCGGAAAGATGACTTCTAGAATGCCGTAAAGATCGGAAACACCCAGACACCCTTGGATACCAGATTTCTTGATGCAAGATAGCGGGGCATTACACCTGTTCATGGTGTGTGTGGGCTGAATTCCGTCGTAACGTGCCGTGGAACGGACTCGATTGGTCGCGGATGACGGTCACAAAGAATTGCTACTACCCACCAAGTGATCCCCATTGGCCTCTCTAGCCGCTCAGTGTCAGCGCTCAGAATAGCACGAAAGGACTGAAGCTTTCCCCTGCCCAGAGGTCTCCAGAGTTTTGTGTGGGCATAAAGGGATATGTCTGTTGGTGGTGGGAGGTTCTATGTTGTAGGTACAAGTAGTGAAGATGCAGGTTCATTCGAGGGAGGGATCTTGTTATAGCTTTTTGGTGGTATCGTAAAACTAGGCACAGAATACCTTCCTCATCCAGAACCGGAAGTTTTGTACTGCGGGTAGTTCCGCGTACCGTCTATGTCCGTTCAGCTGATGAGTCCAGTTGTGATTCGCAACCTCTGCAGGGTTGCTATGGGATTCGTTTCCTCTGCCGCAGATGGTGATCGATAGAGATCCTGGGTCGGCTGGTGTGATTCAGTTTCCGCGTGGAGGGTTTTCCTAATAATCAACGTAAAAGCGGTATAAAACCGAACTTCATTTTAGAAAAAAATAATTATTTCCTCGTCGTACCCACCAAACACAACCGAGCCGTCATATGCCGCAAGAGGGCCACTGTTGGCCCGAGAAAAACAACCATACCCGTGAAAACATTTTGTTTGCTTGGACAACGACGTTGAGGTAGGTTGAGTTGGGACCTAGGCCTAGTCTAATGAGTTGAGGGTAGAGTAGCCGGTGTCCTATCTTTGGCGCGAGATACCAATGCGCGTGGCCACGGACCCGTCGTTCGAGCCCCTAGCCAAGCTCGTCATTGCACATGAAGCTTCCAATCCGTAGCAGCCGGAACCTCATGCGTTTCTCACAGTTATCAGACTGACGGCCAGGGGGTCATCTAAATGGTCTATTCGAGGGTTCCGATGGTCATACGGATGCATCTCATGTACGAGTCCACGACATGAAGGTCGACTTGCCGCGGAGTGATACCTAAGAAAAGGCAGGGGCGCAGAGCAGTTAGGCTTCTAAGGCATTGACAGCCCAGAGGGCAAAGTAGGAGTGTCAACGTCCCTGAAGACGTACTGCTCGAAGCGACACGGGGTAAGATGGGCAACCAGTCAGGAGCGCCAATAGGGCTGACTGGCGGCTACATAGCAGGACCTGGTATCAAACATAATTTCGCGTGAAGGCCTGTGTTGTAACGCAGTGTCAGTGTCCAACGAGTCAAGGAAGAGGCAAAATATTGGGTAACATTGAATGACAAGGGGAATCAAAGACCAACAAACATTAGGCAAACAAAGGCAGAAATCGCAAGGACACAGATAGGGCGCATAGGGTGAACGTTCTAGCCACCAATATACTGATGATTATCATCTTCAATAGTTGTATACAGTCAACTCTGCAATTAACGATCAGAGCCGTTACAGGGGTTTTGAACATTAAAACTAGATAATCGTTACATTGAGATTTTTGTAGAAAATGTCGTAAAACCGAGGTTTACGCTGAGTTACGTTATTTTGAGTGGAAACCGCTTGTATTTATACCCAGAAAACCGTCACCATACAAATTTGTATGGTTACTATTTCTTGAAGTATGAATCTAATGTCTGTTGAGGTGCGTTGAACCGTTAGATTAATAACCGTTTAATGAGACTCTTCTGTGCCCGCTGAAATGAAGCTATATTTATTATATTAATTATTGTTGATTGCTTATGGTATTAAATAACCATTGCGATGGCTTTAAGCGTGCTCGCTAGCGAAATTATTAGTAACTCTTATTATTTAAATTAGCTATCATTATCCTCCCCTGTAATAAGTAAGAAGGTTTTAACTATATAAGTAAGGAGGTTATCTGGGCTATTAATAACCTCCTTATCTAGTAGATTAGTAAAATTATTAATATTTATTATAGTTTTGATTATTTTAATACGTATTAGACTTTGGGTAAGGGTAGTAAGCTTATTAGAATCGAGATTAGTAATTCTATAGATTTCTATAGCGGGGGTATAAAGTGCTATAGCCTCCTTAATACTATAGTTATCCTTACTACCGGTTATAAGGATATTTATTTTTACTAGCTTCTTATTTAAATTATATATTGGCTTATATAGAATAGACTTCTACTAATAATTGTTAATAGTAACGGCAGTAACTTTATTTCTCTAAATATTAATAATCTAGGAAATTACTTATAGAATAGTAGTATTTCTAAAGGGATTACAGCCTATTAATGTAATATTGACTATATATTATAGTTAGAGGTTCCTGTAATAAACCTTCAGATTATTAATAATCCCTTAATTTATAGGTTGGTATAGGGAAGTAGTATTGGGAGGTAGAAAGACGACGAGGGTATTCCGGAGCTGCTAATTATCCTCTCCTTCTTGCAATTACTTAATTGTAAAGGTATACGTACTAAATTTATCTATTAGAAGGAGTACTTATTATAGGGCTAGCGCCCGGGTTATAGACTCTAGTCTCTAAGACTAGAGCTGTCATTAGCTACAGTAGTATAGAGTGCGTAGCCCTAATAAAAACCTCTTAGCACCGGTAGATCCGTATTTTAAATAGACTTTTCCTCCTTTATAGAACCTTAATCAAGCTATACGACCAGTACCCATATTAACCATACTATCCCCGTTACATTAAGTTCTATTAACCAATAAAACTAATAGATTAAAATATACCGCCGTTATAATAGTAAGGGCAATAATACGCTATATCGAACGTAGAAGAAGAAGTAGTACAATAAGTAGAATTCTAATAAATAAAAAAAGACAATTTTATTAGAAGTATTTTTATAAGTATAGCGTTCACCAACGCTATTAAAACGGCCGTTAGTACGCTACTTATTATTTAAAGAATATAAGGCAACCCCTAAATGCTTATTTAAATAACTATTTACGTAATTACTATTACCTTTAGCGTTGCAATTAGTACTACCCAAAAAGCCGCCCCTATTACTATTCCTAATATTAAATATAAAAATATCCGGTAGCCGAAGTAGGACGGATTTACCTCGATTTTCTCCCTACTCCTTATACAGTTACGCTTTATATATAAAGAAGAGAAAGTAGTTAGAATAATCTCTAATAATAAATCGAGATAATTAATACTATTTAATATACTCTTTAATAATAAAATAATTAAAATAGAAGCTTTCTAGCGCTAAGAATATATTAATAATTCCTACCGTCCTATTAATTAATTTGATTATTTAAAATTAATCTTCGATAGCGAAAATAAGAAATAGCTCGTATTGACTTATCTACGAACTATTTACTAACGTAAGAATTAAAGCTTCGCTAATTTCTTCCTAGTCTTTAAAAGAAATTTAATAAAAATAGGAAGCTTTACATAGGAAAATAAATCTTAATTCGCTTAATTAAATACTTTTATATTTAACGCTTTATATAATTAATTAATTTCGGTCCGGATACCTAAAACGTATAATAAATATATAAAAGACCTAAAAAATATTATTTAGCAGTTTAAAGTAAGCCGAACCTCCTACAAAATTAGCGGGAATAATAAGGGAGCTATTAACCGCTATTAAAAGTCTTTCCCCTAATGAAAATAAGTTATAAACCTATCCTTAAAGGGCGCTAATAGTAATATATATATAATAATAAGCGCTATTAAGATTAAAAGCGAGAATTATAATAAGGACGCTAAGCGTACTAAATAGGTTTCTTAGGAGGAATATAATAAATAGTATTCAACCGGGCTTTATTTATAATATAAAACTAGTAGTTATATAGTTAGTAATTGTATATACAAACCGGCCCAACGTTTTAATAGTATTAGTATAAAAATTACTAAAGTTAAATCTTAAATCGAACTATTATTAGAAAATATAAATGATTGGTCTTTAAAAGGGTTGGAAAAAGAGTAACTCCTATATAAAGCCGGGTGCAAGAATAAATAAAAATACTAAGTAAGGAGGCAGGAGCTTCAAACTTCCTAGGTTCTATAAAAATAAATATTATTAAAATCCCTATTGCTATTAATAATAAAGATCGATTCTATACCCTTATTAATAAACGTTATTAATACTATATTGCTATTAGTAAGAAAGTTATTAAAAAATTAAAAATTCCAGTGATTCCAATTCCTAAGAGATAAATTAAAAGCGCCTCCGCGGAAATAGAAAGTATAAAGATTAAAGGCATCGTTTATTTTAGGGCAAATATTTATAGCTACGAATTAATTATTTATATTTATATAATTCTTAAATCAAAATTCCTTATAATACTAGGAAAACTGTAGTTAATTATTATAAAAGCCTATTCAGTTCCGTATAAGTATAAACTCTAATACGGAATAGCCGGGTATTAAATCCTATATTTAGGATATACGCTTAAGGAATCTTCCCCCTATACTATAGAAATTAGAGAAACTATTTACTATTCAACTACGACCTTCGTAATTATATTAAATAGAATTAAAAAGAAAAATAGTAAAGAAATTATAGAAG